TGCGATTTTTGCAAGACTAGTTGCGACAATCACTGGCACTGCTCCGTGAAACATGGAGCCAGGACTGTGTCGTGTACATGGGCGAATCGATGTTCTGGGTCTGGGGTGGATAGATCCAGTTTTATTCTTAGAAGCTAAATGTAAAAATATCAAGGCAAGTGCAGCTCTGACGATATTTGCTCAGATGCGAAGTGATTGAAGCACGGTCCGGAAGCACTTACCCGAGGCACAGTGAATCATCCGCTTTGGATGAAGTTTGAGAGATGGTTTGTTGAAACTCACCACCCGCCATCAGCACGGTGTCGGTGTCGCCTGGCTTCTGTTTGAATCGCACCCAGTGCTGATCAGTGTAGACTGCCAGGCTGCTGGGGCTCGCGGCCTAGATGCGACAGCGGCTGGAGCCTGCGAGCGATTTCCGGTTCTTGGCTTGCCTCAGGCTCGACAAGAACCAGATCACGGATGTGGCGATCTTGGAGTTTGCCGAAGGCTCAGTACCACTGCAAGGCAGTTGCGCGTAGCATCCCAATCTTGCATTTCAGGTTTCAGCTTTGGTTCGCATGGACAAGAAGGCGAGGAGACCAGTAACAGCGAACTGATCATGCAACAAGGTGTGGCCTTAGAAAGCTTTTGGGTGGATGCTTGGCCGGCTTTCATCATGATAACTTATTTCGTGCGCGAGCATATGCAAGCTATGACATTGCTCGTTCTACATCAGATGTGGTTTGATGCAGCGATGCACATCTCGGGGTGGCGCTATCGGATCTGCAGATGGACGCCTGCAAACCTTCCGATGGACGACGTTAGGGTGATCCTTTTTGACCATTTGTTGGACAAGTGCAGCGCCTGCCAGTGTCGGTTTCCTTTTGGAGGTAGGCCCAAGCGACAAATGTGCTCATGGCACCTCTGGGTAACTTTTTCCCAGGTCTTGGTTTGGCTCAACACGAAAGCCGATCCATAGGTTCAAGACCCAAGCGCTGAAGATCCGTCTCCAAATGAGGGACACCAACAGGACAACCATTTTTGGAGGTCCCTATTTTGACACATACCCACATTTGTCATTTGAAATTGCATGTGTCCAGCTGTCAGCCAGGACTTGACATGCAGCTTGAGCCACAACCCCTCCAAGCGCTTTGACGAGGACAGTCGCATTTGAGAAGCAAAATCTTATAAACTCTTTGACCTTCCAATGTCCTTTAGTTTCTTTGGCACATGGATGGCACTGGTTTCGTGGGCAAGCAAAACAAATGCCGTTGAGCTAGTGTGGTGTCTTCTCAGGCATGCGGGCAAGGTGCTTCGTCTCATGGTGGCCACAAATCGTGATTGGCATTTGCCTTGTTCGTTTTGGGTGGAGCAGGACTCTTTGCGGAATCTGAATATGGTGGCTGCAACCGTCAGGCGCTTCGCTGTGTGGCTTGGGGGCGGTGGGGGTGGGCATCGAGAGCGAGCAACATGACGAATGTGACAGCAGGCAAGTTGGCCAATGTGCCTTCAAATACTGTTTTTCTTGTTGGACAATGATAGCGGCATGTTCCATTGCAGTGTGACGAACACCGTGGAGAGGGCAAGCAGTTTGCGTGCTTTGCATAGGGCAATCTCCAAGAGATGCGTGAGTTTGGAAATGATGCTCAAGTTCTTCAAGGACGGCCGTGTGGCTCGCCTCAATGATATGACATCACCGGACCGGATGGCAGGACTATACCTCGGTGGGTCGGATTGCACACCAATCAAGCACCACCGAGGACAGCATGTCAAAGCGATTTGGGCACTGTGAGTGTACTCTGCCGCAGGAGGTGGTCAAAGAAGTTATTCGGCCCGAGTCCGATAAGTGCCAATCTGTTTGCGTTATTTGTTTTCCCTCGGCAAGCGCATCCACAGTTCACTATGAGCCGAATTACCAGGTATGGCGTATGTTACAGTGAGTTCTACCACACCTTTTCGCCAGAGTACTACGTGGTTCATTGTTGGCAGGCCGGTTTGTACTGCGTGCAGGTGTTTTTCATGCGACATGTCAGAAAGGTAAGTAGCTGCAAAGTGGAAAGCGGAGTCATCTCTTGACTACTCAGTCAGCTCAGAGCTGTTTATTGGGCACACATGAACTTACATTGTCACGGTTCGAGTCGGGGTTGAGGGAGACTTCCCCGTGTGCCAAATTGATTTGTTGTCGCGCATTGAGGGCCTTTTGTGCCTGCGTCGGGACAACCCTCACTCAGAACACGCTGGTGGGATAGGTCCCATGATGGGACCCCAATGTCGAATTGCTGGCACACCCCGCCTCATTCTTTCCCGAACCACATGACGACATGTGTTGCACTGTGTTGCTCTGCCTGAACTGGCGCTCATCTCTTTTAATCCTCCCCGCAAGCAAAGCGGCTCTAGCTGAACGGGCGCTTGCCTCTTTTCATGTGGACAAGTTTGACTGGCGCGAAAAGGAGCCAGGGAAGGGGTTTCCGTTTGGAAGCCGTCCGCAAACTTTGGTTCCGCAAATGACAAGGAGTTCTGCGAGATGGTCTAGCCAGTTCCGCGAGCCAACTCGAGACTTGTTTTGAGCATTTGGACGAAGTGTGTGCGCCAGGTGATTTTTTAGGTGACTGTTCAGCAAGAAACTTACAGCCGACATCTAGCGCCAGGTGATTTTTTAGGTGATTCTAAGTGTGGGGGATGTCGTTTCCAGTGGAGCATTCCCGGCAGGACCATTCCTTTCAATCCCGCTTTTTCGCATTACTTTTAAGATAATATGTATACTTAATACATATTAGTGTGCATACGTAGTAACATGACGTAACATACTCTTGCAACATGTGATGTGATGTGATGGGATGTGACGTGATATGATATGAAATTATATAATGCGATATATTATCGTACCCACTTGGACGCACCGCACCTTACATTGCAGTCCATACGTCATAAATGTGCTGCTGGGGGGGGGTCGGTGCAGAGGCTTTTTCTGTTTTGCCACACGGAGTGCCAGGCCCTGTTCAGCGACTTGCTGATGGGGGTGGCCACCCATGCCTCCGGCTTCACTCAGCCGAAGCTGGACCCCTCACACGAGCAGTGCCCCGGACCTTCCCTGTTGAAGCTGCCGCCCCCCCCCGCCCCAAGAACACAACAACACGGGGGGGGGGTTGTTTCAAGAGAAACACGGGGGGGGGGGGTAGGTTGTTCAAAGGGGAAGCCAAGAGGAAACCAGAAGTTTTGGGGATCCCTAACATTTCAAAGGCAAAACCAGCTATGCCGCAGGTATATTCGTCGCCCAGAGGCGCTTCTGAGGCGCCTGTTTTCGCCCCGGTGCCCCCTTCACGGGCCGCAAGAGCTTCGAAAGGCGGTACTTTGTGGACATCTTCTGCATTGCCTGGGCCTCATGGAGCCCGTGGGCTGCACAAAAAAAGCGGGCACGAGCGCGCTTGAAACCACTTATGAAAACTTGGAACAATTGCAGAGCCATGAGGTCTTGAAGGTAGTCAGTATCAGATCATTTGTGAAATAGCTAGGGCTTTCCAAATCAAGTTGTGCATGACTGCATCCATGGCGGAGGACGCAGTTGACTGAGAGCCATTGATTGGTAGCAGCCTCCATTTTGTTGGTGGACATAAATCCCCATGTAGTGTAGAAGCTGCCCACAAGAAGGTCCCCAATTGACGCACATCCCGGCATTCCCGTGGTATCGGGCTGCGAAAATCTGGGAGCGTTGTGTTTGCGGACTGCCAGGATCAGGTCAGGAAGTTTCCACAGCACCACCCTCGGTGTGAGACGGACAAGTTTGATCTCGTGCTGCAGGAAGCGAGGCGGTTAGTCGCGAAGCAGACGGTTCCTTCCCCCCACAATTGCAGAGGGCTGATTGCCGAGTCACCAAGACATTAGTGCATGGAGAGACAGGGACAGAGAGGGACAGAGAGGCAGAGAGGCGGCGAGGCAGGCAGCGGATGTGCTCTCTTGAATGCGACTCGCGCCAGTCGACACAGCACGAAGCTGTTGGTGACAATGGATCGGGACCGCTTGCCGTGAGAGGTGTGGTGAGGCATGTCTCAAGACCGGGGCGGGGTTGGTTCCTCTTTCTGGCCTCAACAAGACCCCCAGGAAACCAGGCAAACGGTGCTGCAGTTTTGGGCCGCATTTGCTTGTGTCGAGGTGCGGCAGTTTTGTGCTTGCAGGACCACACTCCCATGGCTCGCTCCTGGTGCTTAGCAGCGCCTCGGCTGCGAGGCAAGAGCTTTGGATCCAATTCCAGGAGATCCAACCTGTTTTGACGCATCCAGATGTGCTCCCAAACGTGACCCAGTTGGAGAGTTCTCCTTGTTTTTGGCAGGGTGAGATAAACAGTCGCAGATTCATTTGAGTCGGGAATCACTTGGATGTGTTTTGCACCAAGGAGGTTTGCTTCGCCAAGCTCTGCAGCATGTCCATCCTGGTGAGTGGCTCTGCCTGACTTGTGCCGTTTCCCGAGAAGTCGCAGAGGCGAGCCGTTCGCAAGGCTTTGGCCCGATTCATCCTATGCCTCGCCGCCGCAAGGGTGCAGGGCCCGGGCGAAAGGGTGCGCGTGATCCCCGAGTGCAGGGTGGTCACGGATGTAGCGCGAGCATATCAAGTGATCAGGCCGTGCTGCCTCTCAGGCATGATCTTCAAAAACACGGAAGCCTCCCTAGAAGCGGACGCGGAGCTGTTGAGACAGGAGCCGGCCTGCTTTGGTGACAGCTGCAGTCAAAGCCGCATACTTGTTGTTTGTTTCTTTCTGTGGGTGAGCTGCGAAGCGATTCGCCCCTGACCTTGATTTGGGACGCTGCTGGACTGAGCTGCTGCACGTGTGACTTGGCAGGAGTTGATGCTTCGTGGCCCTGGCATTGGAGAGAAGCTTGGTGGAGTTGCCTTGCCGGCCTAGCGAGCAAGCACGGCTTGTGGACAAGCTCCAGGTGCAGTAGTGGGCGATTGGTGATCATTCCACCTTGCAAGTTGCAGTTCAGGGTCGGCATGTACTTGTAGCAAGCCTTAGAGCAAAGGAAGGCGCCTGTCACAGTTCCCACAACATACCCCAAGTTGTCATTTAGGAAAAGGCACTGAGGTCAGATGATGGTTGGCCAGTCAAAAGGCAGACTCATGGGCAGATCTCAGAGTCTCAGCACCGGTGGGAATTGTTCCAAGACCAGGAAATTTGAGAACGAGGTGGTTGAGCCACTGCAGAAGCAGGCTACAGATACGCCTGGTCCTGAGCGAGTTTGCGAATTGACGGCAGGGCCATTTTGGCAGGTACACGGCGGTGTATGAGAGCATGCCGTTGGACCAGCAAAAGGACGAAGCACCGTGCAATGCCTCCAGCCTCTAAGCCCCTTACAGGACTGCGATTGGGTGAAGGCGCAGGATGATGCCCGCGAGGCACGAGAATCCTAGACATCCACCCAGAGTCTTTTGTGTAACGTTGCGGAGAAATAAATCTACTTGTTACATTGGCAGACACGATGTTGGTTTGGTGCCCGAGCAGGACATGAAGATGTATGGCCGGCAAGGAAATGCCGAGCCCAGTCAGCAATCGCCCAGTCAGCAGCTACGCCTGGGCTGAGCCTGATCGTGTCGCGCCAATCAGAGCTGCGTTTTCGTCCAAGGAAAAGATGCGGGTGGCAGTCCAAGCTGGCATCGACTCGCAGGTTGAGGCAGGTGGAGCACTCTGTGAACTGTGGTCTCCTCGCATTGAGTGGGAACCCTAGGGGATTTGTCAGGACAGCACCATGGAGCCCAACCGCCGGAGGCGGGGAGATGCTTCAAACCGATTTGCAGCGCACGGATCCTCGACAGGTGCCCTGAAGGGCAGACTTGGGGTAAGCTGCCTGCAAGAGTTTATGCTGCCACTACCTCCAAGGGGGAATTCTGGCAAACAACACCTGGCTGCGTTGTTACTTGTTGTATTTTTATGTATAATATATACATATATATACATATACACATGTACGTATGTAACATTTGTATAATAATAATATATATATATATATATACAATCTATGCCACTGTTTCCCTTGATGGCGGAAACTCGTTTAGAACCATTTATTGCCCGAGAGGTTGGCCCAGCTGGAGCTGGAGATGGTTCTGAATTTGGAGGCCCGTGATGCGACAAGTGCGGCCTGTGATGCGTCAGCGAGTTTGAGCCGAGTTGTCCTTCTCAAGTGAGCCACAATCAAACCCTGGATAGATAAGGTTAGTAAGGGACAGTCCCAGCCAGAAATAGTTGCGGCCGCCTTCTTAATTCTTTACATGATTCTGCGTAGACCATATCACTACCGGGTTTTGATTGTGACTGACATGGGCCCTTCAAGAACAGCATAGGGCCATGTCCGGTAGCCTTTAGAAGGGCTCCTTGCAGCTAGCTCCGGGTTTTAGCTCGTCATGCAAAGGCCAACTACTCCTTGCTGGAACACATCAGCGAGCTGAGACGCACGTTACAGGCTTCCGAGGAGGCGGCTGGCATGCCGTTTGTGGCATGCCATAAAGAGCGGTGTAGTCCCTGGAGGAGAAGCTTGAAGATCATCCTTTGATCAGCGCAGGGCTTAAGTTTGGCCTTCTTTCCTTCCCAAGCTTTGATTGGATGTCTTGTTGCTGGGGGTCGTTGCATTTGATCATTTGCCCAAGCTCGCAAGAACCTTTGTTCTTTGGTGCTTGGGGCAGAGCCAGAATCCAAGCAGTTGGTCCACTGCAGCCACTCAAGCTTCAGCACCTGCGTTGCCTCATTTTTAGCGTTGGCCGCCCAAAAATCCCAGGCCGGGGGCGGGCGCGGCCGGGCGCCCGGCTTCTTCATGGCTTGTCCAGTCGTGGCAGAGGGTTCGAGGCTCGCCGAGCAAGAGGCCGAAGCACGCAGACTGGATGCCCAGCAGGAGGGGCGGAGTGTTTTGCTGTTGGCTTCAAAAGCCCGCTGAGTCTGAACCGTGCCGCAGCGTCGGAGATTTGGGGTGGAGAGCTTTCGCGAGGAGCTGCTCAAATCCACCAAGCAGGGCCAGAAGCTCTCCGACAGGTGGCAGGCATGAGATGTTCAATGCTTTTCCAGGAGTACATGTGCTTCAGCTGCTTGGTTTGCTCACCTTCCCACTGCACGCAAAGCTGTTTGCAACATGGCAATCTCATGCGTCAGCATTATGCAAATCCTGCGATGCAGTTGCAGCAGAAGAACAAGAAGAGGACCAACCCGGAGGCAGTCACGAAGTGTCGATTACTGTGTTTCAAAGCGCTGTGAGCATCCAGAATCTTCAGAGCGTCAGTTTGTCAAAGTTATCCATGTTTGGTGTTCTTCGACTCCTACGCTATATCCTATGCTATAGAGGGTTCCCATAGCGACAACGGCAAACTGGCAGCCGCCGTCTTTCACTGCGCCCCTTGGAGGCTCCGCTGGTGGAAGTGCCGGTGATCAAGCTGCAGAAGCAGATGGGTGGGCAGGCGAGGTGGATGGCGTGGGATCGGTACCGAGCATCGCTGGCGGATGTTTGATGGCGCCTACTTTGTTGCAAAAGGCCATGGACACACACACACACACACACACACACACACACACACACACACACACACACACACACACACACACACACACACACACACACACACACACACACACACACACACACACACACACACACACACACACACACACACACACACACACACACACACACACACACACACACACACACACACACACACACACACACACACACACACACACACACACACACACACACACACACACACACACACACACACACACACACACACACACACACACACACACACACACACACACACACACACACACACACACACACACACACACACACACACACACCCCACGCGCACACACACGCATCGCACGCGCAGCACGCGCGGCGCGCACGCGCACCGCGCACGCGCACGCGCACGCGCACGCGCACGCGCACGCGCACGCGCACGCGCACGCGCAGCACACGCGCACGCGCGCACGCGCGCGCGCGCACGCGCAGCGCACGCGCGCGCGCGCGCACGTGCGCCGCGCACGCGCACGCGCACGCGCACGCGCACGCGCACGCGCACACACGCGCGCGCGTGCGCGCGTGTGTGTGTGTGTGTGCTTTGCCCATGGGCTCCCCTTTTGCAGGAGAAGAAGGAGGAGGCCGGTGCCTTAAGACCTGCTGTGAAAAGTCAGGCTTGAGAAACCATCGCCATTGGGCTAGATGGTTACACCTTGCTTAGGAACCCGAAGAATGGGAAGTGGATTGTCCCAAAACTCGTGGGCGAGCCACGCCGCTGGTTTGGACGGCTCGCAATGCCGCAAGGAATGGCGTCGACAGAAGGTGCAGGACGAAAAGGCGGGAGATAGAGATCAAAAGGGAAGGCCGATGGCCAAGATTCCAACAGGTAGTAGCTGTCACAAGCAACTACAAGCGGGGCTGCGCCATTTGCAAGTGTTTAACACACACATCAACTGGCAAGGACTTGGCCTGTTAGGAGATGGCCATTTAATGTGGGTGGAGATTTGTAGCCGTGAACGATGTGAGTGGTGTGCCAGATGTGCCTGATGTGCCATTTTGTTGGTTGGCTGCTCAGACGCAATTTCGGGATCAAAAGGCAGATCATGGATATTAACGCTCAATACTATGTTTGCCACCTCTTGGCTTTCAAGTGGCCTTCAGTAGGCAAACGATGGCGCACGGTGTTGCGGACCATGTTGATTACATATTGGTCACGGTACTAGGTACGGTCAGAGCCAGTTGGGAATGAATGCTGCTTGCATGTCAAGTACTGGCTGAGTCCAAGCAAAGAACACATCGCCTGATGACATCAACAAAAGCCAGCAAAATGGTGCGAATTGGAAGCCTGCCAACGCGGCCAGTGCCATAAACAATCGGACCAACGGCTCTGATGTGATACTCCAAAACCGGCGGCAACAGACTTGTTCATCATGAACCTATATGTCTTCAATCTGGCAATATAGTTGTCTTCAAGGAGATTCGAGCAGCTATCAGCAAAGGTGAAACCATTCTCAAGGATTGGAATGGTGGATATGTTCTAGGATGCTGTGATTCTTCCCCTCATTCATCTATGGCAATCGTTTGTTGGTTGTTCGCTTCCGCTTGTGTGAAAGTTGGAGACCTCAAGAACCACAAGAAAGCCGAGCGTCCACCACGCGTCCTAAACAGGAATCCTGAGGGGAGCCATCACACAATTAAAGAAAGCCAAGCGCACAATCACAAAGTTGCAAACACAAAACACACATGCCAAACCACACAGAAGCATTCAAGCAAACACAAACAAAAACAACCAAACACAACCAAACACAAACAAACACAACCAAACACAAACAAACACAAACAAACACAAACAAACACGAACAAGCACAAACATACACACAAAACACAGCCTGACAAACAACAGAGCAAGCAAACACACACTCACACACACAGAACCAGAAGACCAGAAACAACAGCCAAACTCATCGAAGCCCCGCCGATGTCCAGCAGCCGGAGGCGCTGGTGAAAGGCCTGCGCCTGGCCTTTGAGGAGGGCGAGGCGGCGGGCTGCGACCGCGAGGTCATCGACCACTGCCAGCGCCTCAGCTGGCGGGCTCCAAACGCGGCACGTGTCGAGTCCCAATCCAGGAAATCGGATGCAGGAAACCCGAAGAACCTGTTGTTGGTGGTGTACAGACAGAGAGATTCTGCAGGAAAGAAAGACACACAAACTGGTTTTGATTGGTTTACGGACAGACAAGAGAGTCAGCTGGAAACCAACAAAAAACCTGGTTTTGGTGGGTACACGGAGATTCAGCAAGAAACCCAAACCTGGTCTTGGCGGGTATTGGGCTCACTTGTAGAATCTCCTGTAGCTGGTTTCTATGATATTTGGGTTGGGTTTTTGGCTCCACATGAAGCAGAAGCAACATTCCACAATTTGGTGCACCTTCCCATGTTTTCTGCTTCAGCCAACTCAGGGTCTTACGGCCTTGGAGCGCGACAAGTCCTTATGGATCATTTGACTGGGCTGGCAGTGTCTCTGCTTTGCACGTTGTGTTGGCTAAGACGCGCAAGTACACGTGCAGCGCCTTTGTGTCATTTGAATGGTTGATTCAGGGGCCCCAACTGCGCTTTGACCATTGGTGCATTGCTTTGCAACGATGCAGCAAGTTGCGTAGCGCGCAGCTTCTCTCATGCTCCATCGGGTGAAGGTAGCTCTATGCTCCCAGGCCGGCGAGTCTATTCAGAGCTCAGAGTCTTCACTTCAGTCGGGCGCCCGTTTCGGCTTGAGAGGCTTGCATCGTGTCAGTTTTGCACAAACAACTCGAGCCCCATTTGAAAGAGATTCTGAAATCCAAGCCCGGATTTGGCACCCTTCGTTCAACCCGAGTAGGCAGCCTGTCATGCTTTATCAGACGTAGAAAGACAAACTCTTTGAGTCCAACTTGCCGATTATATGTTATGCGAAGCCCCTGAAGTTGGTCTTGAAACCAGCCTCAGCATCCAACAACTTCAAACTTGCAGACGAGCTCTCGCGAGCCAAGCCAGGCACAGTGGACGATCCGGCGGCTGGCAGAAGAGCAGGCCAGGGCAACCTAACTCTGGGAGACCTGGATCCCAATGTAATGACTCGTGGGACGTGATGGTATGCAAACTTTGGTTTGCGTGCTGTCCCCTTTCAAGTTCAAGACTAGCGCCATTTGGCTCTCGTTAGTTTGCATCTTTGCCCTTTCCCACACAGGCAGCTCAGCGGGCTGCAGAGGAGGCGGCAAGGCAAAAGGCGGAGCGCGCCGCGGCGAAGGTGCGGCTGGCGATGTTTCTGTTTGGCTTTTCCAGACCTATGCTTGATCTGTAGTTTGCCTTTTACAAACTGGGCCCAAGAATGAGGTTGTGGGTCGACAAGCAGGTCCCTCGTGTTTGGGTTGGTCGTCCGCAATAGGCAATGCAATCTGTGAGAAAGCATGTGCATTGCCGTTCCATCCAGTACTTCTATGCATGCGGGTGACACAAATAACTATGCTTTTGGGTTTCCCAAGACATGTGGTTTCTGAAAACGCATCTCGCTAAGCACATGCTTGTCTGACCAGAAGCAGTTACGTGAGATGCTTGATGAAAGCCGCATCACTTGCCTCATGTTGGACATTGCGCCCAAGAAATAGACCAGACCCTAATGCCGTGTTTCCAGAGTCGATGGTACCGGGACGCTCGGAAACACGGGAAAATGAGGCCGCGGAGCGAGAAGCTCGCCGAAAGGCTGCGGAAGAGAAGGGGGAGGCCGGACGTCGCGTGGGCTACGTTGACTGAAGGGCCAGGAGGTTGGCCTCCGAACAGAATCTAAAATTCACTGCGCGTCGCATCTTAGTTTCCTCTCCTGCAAGCCTTTCGGCCTTGGTAAACTTGTAGGGCATTGTAGGGCAATCTATGGTTAACATGGCCAGAGCACAAGGAACTCGCCAGAAGTCCCTTCGGCCCATTTCCCCCATGCAGGTGCGATGCCCCTGCATTTGGCATAGCTCACTGATCCCCACGCCCAAATCGGTTGGGGTGGTTACGTGTCATGCGACATCCCTTTTGGTTCGGCGATCCCAGTTCTGCCAGAAAACCTCCAAATCGGCCTTTTGAAAGAAGCGTAGGGCGTGATGTGGTGTTTGGATGGTTGGAGGGACTGCGCGCTCGCTCGAGTTCAGGACTTCGAAGAGTCCGAGGATGAGTCCGAGGATGAGAACCGCTTCTACGACGAGGAGGCCAGCGGGCGGCAGTGATAAAGCTTGCAGTGGGACGTTTTTTCAGTGGCAATCTTGCTTTCCTGGCAGTCACGGCCACCAGAGGTTGTGCAGGATTTGTTTTTGATCCTGTTGCGCGTAAGCAGGCGGATGACGACGAGGACAAGGAAGATCCTAAGGACGTGGAGGATGGCTCCGCTGCTCGGCGTGTGGACTCGGGCGTGGCATCGCGCTAACAGGGCGATGCCCCTCACACAAGACATCGCAACTTCAGTGCCTGAACAGGGGGGTTGGCACACTCACCAGTTGTTGGCAGCAAATCAGAGCAAGAGTCCGGGGTTCTATAGTTCTATGGCATGGCTGGCAGAGTTTGCGCGAGCCACGAGAAAGGGCTGGCATTAAAAGTTTGCACCAAGGTCCAGACCATTTGCGCTGCCTTGCAGAGAGGAAGAGAAGCAGGCTCAAGAGGGGCCGGCGATGCCAGCCAACATGTTGGCACGACTGGAGGTTCCCAACATTTGCAATGAAGTTTCAGGCTACCCTTCTCATGCACCGAATTAGCTCCGAATGCCACATACACTTTCGAGTGCCACAAAATATGGGGAGACAGCATTCATCAAAGAGAGAAATTGTCATGAACCTCGTGAGGTGGCCACCATGAGGTTCGCGACTTTGGGAAGGCCGGGCGATTTTCAGAGGGCTTGCGAGGGTCCCGGATGAGTTTGTATCACGAATCCACTAACATGGGCGGCTCTATTCAAATCAGGATACACCCGCATGGCACTCTATTGCGAGGCTTGCAAGCCTTCAGATGGGCAAAATGGAGCTTTATGGGTAAAGGTTCAAGGGTGCGCAAAAATGCCACCTGCACCGTTGGCCGTGTTGGCTATGTTTGACAGCCTCGGAAAGCGGGGACCTCGCTCGCTTCACGCCAAACAGGAAATCAACATGAAACATTCTGAATAGGATCTGGCTAGTCAAGTTCAGTTGTTAGATGATACTGTTTGAACAGCTTTGCGCCTCAAAATTAATTAGGGGGCCATGGGTGTTGTCCTTTTGATCTCCCTCAAACACGGGTTTCAGAAAGAATAGGAAGCACGGATCCTCCCACGTGGCTTGTCGTCCGACGTCCGGCCTTGGGTCTTCGGAGTCTTGAGGCCTTCTTGAAGGAGCTGGACCTGCAGGCCGTTGCCGTCTTTTCTTTGGGGGTTTGACACTCGTATCCCTTCCTTGGGGTGTCCGACAAGGACCAAAGCCGCGCTCCAACTACACCATGACAAACAAGCCTCATCCGTGAATGTTAGGGAGGTCCAGCTTTGCGGAGAGCCCAAATGGGGTGTTTGTTCTTGATGGGTGTTTGCAGGGGGACCAGTGCGGCTCGAGGGGTGGCCCTATTTTGAGGAAGCTCATTGGTTTGCTGCCGGGCTTCGGGACCCCAAATGAGGAAGTGCCTGCATGTATTGCTCGAAACTTGTCCGTGCTGCGTCATTTGAGCCCCTGCCACCTGAGAATTTGAATGGATGGGGCCAACAGGGGGTTCTTGCATGTTGCTAGTACGCAAGAAGTCTTTCCTCACCTGCTATGTCATTTTAGCCTTTGTCAACTGGGTATTTGCTGGGAACGGTCCTCAAAGAGTTGAGAAGAGGTTCAGAGCGAGTAAGGGTTTCGGACACACGTCTTAAAGAGACGTGCCCATATACCTGCCCTATCGTGTCCGCGGGGTATATTTGCAGAGGGCATAGGTAGACTTGAGACCGAGCTTGCGGAACCAAGTTTGCGTGTCCTCCGGGGATTTGCCGGGAATCACAGGACAAAAGCTGTGCGACCGGTTTGATTTGCATGCAAAAAGGCCTTGTCCCATACAGCTTTAGTTCCATTTGTTGTGTGGCGAGCCTTTTCTGGGTTGCCTTCCTCAGCTCCCATCCCAGGACACCTTGAAGATTCCTCTTTGCTCGTGGTCGCGCCACATCTGGGAGTCTCCATGTTGGCTTCAGAGATCAAAGTTTCTTTGCGAAAGACCACGATGGTCAACCATCCAACCCCGAAGGGGACCATCGGGCTCTGTGCTTCAAAGCTGTAGCCTGGCCTCGAGGTCTACCACCAGTACCTGCTGCAAGAGATGACCTTTTCGGCCTCTCAAAGGTCTGCGGCAGAGCTGAAGCATGTGCTTCAGCAGGTGGTTCGAGTCTCAGACTCTTTTAGCTTGCTGGTAGTTTGACCAAGTAGCAGGCACAGAGGCATTTGCCGGTTGTAAATCCGACACTCCGGAGATCTGCCAGAGATGGATCTCAACATCTGCGATTCCCGGAGTTGCAGCATGGAGTTGCAGCTTGGAGAGGGACTTTTTCATTTCAGGTGGCCGAGGGGTTGGGCCCACCTCCCGACACAAAGCCGAGAAGTGGAGGCCTGAGAGACAAGCCATTTGCCGGCAACTGTCGGAGGGTGAAGCATCCGGGGGAAGTTTCAAGGGGTGTTTGGGCCCTGAGTACCACGGATGCCGAAGAACCTCCCCCAAGGCTGAATTTCCTAAGATTGCTTCTAGATGGGTCGCTGCTTCTTGATGGGCCCTGGACAACTTCGACAGACTTCCCTCCGCCAAGGCGCGCAAAAGGAGATCGCGGCCCAGGCTTGGACGCTTGGACTTGCCTGGATTTGATTGGTAGATGGAAATCCGTTTGCGGGTCATTGAGGTACATGCGCCTTGGTCAAAGCAATGGTTGCTTGGAATGAAGGGGGGGAGATGCATGGCTAACCATTTTGGTGCGGAGTGCTGGCAAACCTAAAGGGTTGTGAAGTGAGATTCTGCCATGTTCGATTCCGGTAGATTTTGTAGAGTCCACAGGCTGCCACCCAAGAGTTGTGTATGCCAGGAGAGGCCTGGGGCTCGCCGCTTTCTGCAGGACGAATGAATCGCTTTGCCGTTTTGGTTGGAGCATCTCGAAAACGCTGACTGAACTCCTCAGCATATCTTGTAAGAGAGAGAGAGAGAGAGAGCGACAGCGTTGAGCGGTGAGGAGGCAAGTGCTGGCAAGCCAAAAGATGCCAATCGAGCGCCAGCAGAATCTGCGGAGCCAGCAGATGTTACTCCAGAGCCAGCGGAATCTGCCAAACCAGCAGATGCCCCTCAGGAGCGAACAGAAGAATCTGCAGACCCGGCAGATGTCACTCTCGAGCCAGCAGAATCTGGCAAGTCGGCAGATATCGCTCCAGAGCCAGCGGAATCTGCTCAGCTGGCAGATATCACTCCAGAGCCCGTGGAATCTGCCAAGCCGGCAGATGCCACTCCAGAGCCGGAATCTGGCAAGCCGGCCGATATCACTCCAGAGCCAGCGGAATCTGCCAAACCAGCAGATGCTCCAGAGCCAGCGGAAGCGGAACCTGCGGAGGCCGCATGATCAATGAGTCTTCAGGCATGCCACGCCTTGACAGGAGACAACTGCGAAGTCAGGGCAGGACGGTGAAGACGGCGAAGCTGCCGGGGATCACAAGGCAGGGTGCCACAGGGCGCAGTGCACAAACGGACCCCTCAAAGTGGTTGGTCTTGCTTTTGGTGTCCTCCATAAACCAACCCCCAAAATGGTACCCTCAAAAAGCACAAACCCAAAATGTGTACGCCGTATCGATATTGCCCAGTTAAATGGCAGGCACGAGGCGCATGATTCGCGGCGTTCCGTCCTCTCAGGCAGAAGCCGGGCCGGCGGATGCTGTGATAAAGGCCTGTACACTGCGCTTGGAGTGGCTTGCTGAATGCACAGGAAGCATGAGAGCACACCGTGTGGGTTGGGTTGGGGGGGGGTTGGTAGCTTTGTCCCGTTCCTTTCGCACGAGGCGCACACGCGCCTGGCCTTCCTCGAGATGGCAGATGCCATGGAGGAGGGCGGATTCAGCCGGAAGTCGGGCCAAACACGCGAAACCAAAAGAATCAAAGTCTTGGAGGAAACAGGCCTCCGTAGAAATGATGTCCAAAGGGGCCGGAATTAGACAGAATGCATGCCCAGCTGGGAATATTGCACGCTTAGGTACACCCTTGGTGGATGTTTTCAGAGAATATTCCTTCATTTTGACAAGGGCCAACTGTTCCAGTGCAAGAAAGGGCAACATGGGCACCAGCAAGTTGTGTCCAGTATCGGCCAAAGATCAGGCCCGGGATCTGCCGGAGCTGCTGAGACTGGTGCCAGCCGCAGAGAAGGCTGACGTCGAGGCGGGGGAAGTCGCCGGCCTAGCTTTCTCGGTGGCTTATGGCTGAAGGATGTTACAAGGTGGCCACAACCTCAGCCTCTCCGCTCGAAAAACCGCTCCGCTGGGCGTGCAACTTGTTGAGCTCGTTGTTCTATCAGAGACGTGCAGGAGACAGAGGTGGCGCTGGGCTGGCGCTTGATTCGCGAGCCGGGCGCTGAGCCAATGGCCTCACACGTAGCTGATCCTTGTCTTGGGTTGCTCGTTGCCGACGAGGTTGCAACTGGCGGAATCGGTCAAGAAGCAAAACCTGAAGGTGGGGCTCGGACAAGCCGGAGCTTCTGAGCAATATTGTTCCACTGGACCCATGGTTTTGACAGCAGGGATGGTCAAGACCGGCCGGAGTTGTTCCATGAAGAATACCACCTGGAGTTGTGGGTCTTCCCCAGTACCTCACTCCAAATCCCTCGCCCAGACACGCAGACAGACACACAGAGGCGCAGAGTCACCAAGAGACGCAAAGACAAGCGCAAACACACGTAAACACAGATACAAAGACACAGACGCAGAGCGACAAACACACCCACCCACACACACACAAACACACCGAGACTCAGATACACAGACACAGAGACGCAAAGAGACCACACAAACAGAACAAAACAAGGGACATGCCAATAGTCTGAACTTGGGAATTCATTCTGATGACCTACTGGGTCAGAGGAAACCCATGAAGTAGCTGATCATGATATCCTTACCAAATGAGGAACCACCGCTGATTAGAACGGTCCTGCGGATGAATACAAAACTGTATGAGATCCAGGGACACGGAAACACCGACATGCTCGGAATCACAGACACACATACACACATACAGGCACAAAGACACAGACATGGGTGGCCTAGAGGAAACACATGTCACATACTTTTCGGTGGCTGGGCCGATGGGCCGATGGTTAGCATAGGAAGGCAGAGGTGAGAGCTCGAATTGGAACAGGAGATCCGCCTGAGACTGGAGAAGGCCAGAGAAGCTAAGGTGCAGGCGGGTCAGTCCAGTCGTGGGTGGTAGCAGTGCATAGGCTTTGGCACGGGGTTCTTTGGCAACACGTTTGAAGCAGACTTTGGAGGGGCATGAAACCTCCACATGCACTCATATGCACTCGACATTTGATGGAAGGTTATGGTGTTATGGTCAATCATTCCGATGCTTATTGCCAGATAGCACGGATAGCAGGTCGATGGGTTCCGGGGACCGTCTCTTTCTTTCGCGAAGGACGAGGTGCTGCACAATGCCGGGCGTAAGTTGGCCAACTGGGAGATCAGGGAGGGCACTAGCCAGGGGAACGCGAAGGCCGGGAGCACATTGGTCAAAGGATTCACTTGTGCTTGAGTAAGCGGACAGATCTGATGCGAGTCCCCAAGATTCCCATAAGGGCATAGCATAGGCACACACACACACCAATGACGTGACCATGGGCTCCTCGGATTGGGGGGGGGGGGGGGGATGAAACCAGTTTGATGTCTTATGTGCGTCAGCTGCTTGAGGAAAGTTGTCTTTAGCTCCACTTCTGGGAGGTCCAGTTGGAGACATGTCAAGATTCAAACTTTTGCCTGTCCAGATCGAAACGCCTAGGTCCTTCTTTTGGAGAATCTTTGTCAGCCGAAAGACCACAGGAGTTGAGATTGCCCCTCCCCTCTTCCCTCGGAAATCCTTTTATCCTTGGCGCTTGGCGGACTAGAAAAATGCAGTTGGGGACCCCCCCCCGTTTAAGGTGGGGAGGATGAGTTGAGCACAAAGCGAGCAAGTTGCCCTTTGCCATTCCGCCGCAGATGTTGGAGCGGGCCATTGCGGAGGGCAGGGCTGCTGGGCTTACGGACCGAGTGCCTGCTGATTTGGGATGGCAGCTATGCTGCTACATGGCTGTGGGTCACAAATAGGTACCCAGAATGGAACCCTGGTATGTGGAAACATGGAGCAAAATCTGCGGTCCCCTGTTGGTTTAATTTTGACTCACCCACATAATTCCTTGATTCCGTATGTGTGACCAATTGCCATGCTGAACCGAGAATGTGCAGTCGTGTTTTGGTCATGCCGTCATGAAGCTTGTAAACTGTGGGGTAATGTCTCAAAGAGATGCCCATCCACGAAAGCGGAAAGTCGCCATACCGCAGCTTGCAGTCCTCATTCAGCGCGGGCACCTTTGTGTTTCTGCTTCATGTTGCGCAATGTGAAGGAGAAGCAGCTCTTCTCTGGCAAGCACGCCCTCCTGAAGCTGCAGGCACACCCATCAGCTTGAGTTGCCGAGTTATGTGCGAATTGAATGAGCTGGGCAGGTTGCAGCTTTGGTCTCCACCGAGATGCCGGAGGACACAACCAGCTGGCTTGGCGGTGCCTTCGTGCCTTCGTTTCAAGCGTGGCTTCGATCAGGAGATCAGAAAGCTGCTTGCCATGGCAGAAGGCATGGGAATGCCGCCAGACAGCAAGGAGCTTCCGGAGGTGGTGTTTGGTGCATGCCTTGTGTTTGCCTGTCCATGCTCCCAGTTGCCCGGAGCTGCCCTATTTCCTTTTTATGTGATTTTATTTTTTTTCCGGAGGGATTTCCCTTTAAAGTTAACGAGTTCAAAAAAAAGATACCGATTTTTCCCATGGGAATCCACTGTGCATCTGAGTGTCGCCCGGAGGAGCTGGAGCAGCCTAAGTCTCGCCTGGCCTTGCTGGAGTTGCGCCAAAGCCTAAGATTCGAGCAGCCGACTGGCGTTGTTTCACGTGGCTTCGCTAAGGTGAGGCCATCGAAGGTACTGATGCCAAGAAACTACAAGCATGCATGGACGCCGCGAAGAGCTCAGAAGGGATAGAAGGGCAGGAGCATTCCTGAAGTTGTGAAGCTCGCAGGCATGTCGACATGTCCAACTCCTTTTGACCACTCCTCTCCCTGTGTTGTCCTTTTCCCGTCAAGATGAGATTGCAATGCATGTATTTTGAGGCTGTTTGGAGACTTTAGCGTGTCTTGCGGGGTCTTACGGTTTGCAGGCCAAAGAACACCGCGTGGACGGGGAGGAGTTGGAGAAGGGTAGCTTCAGGCAGGATCATGCGCTGGAGTGAGAAATGGAGCACATTGGACCTGTCGATTGCGTGACCCCGTGGATGGACCCACAGGCAGCATTTGTGCAGCAAATCCAGCTGCAAAGGGAAGCTATTTGGATCGTTGGGGAATTTTGTTGGTTTCAACCAGCCGGAGCCTACACCGGAACCCAAAAAATGTAGCCTGTTGAAATCAATGTTACACTTGCTGGGTGCTGAGCAGGGAATGACCTTCCGGATGGTGAAACCAAGGGCACCAAATCCGGGATGGTTTCTTTCGGGGTCATTCCAACTCCTTCCCTGAGAACCAGCAAGCGTCTCCAAGCGCCGGTCTCGGTCGCGAGGCTGAGGGTCCTGGAGCTTCAGGAAGCCTCCCGGGACTTCGACGCGGAGCGGCTGAGGCGACTGGGGCGGGTCGAAGGTTCCTCTGTGCGTTTGTTCCGCATTCCGGCTGAAGTCTTTGGCAAGCCACAATAAAGGCGAACAGGACATTGATCGGGATGATAGGATATCAACATGGGGCCGCCTTGGTAGCAGCAGTCAAATCCGGGCCAAGTGTTGGCGGGTGCGTGGGCTTTGCGCATGTCTCTCCTGGCTGGCTCTCGTTTGTCCGGACGTTTGGGGAGGTACCAGCTGCCTTCCAGGCGACCATCAAAATATCGCATGCTTGTCAATCTTGTCAATTCTCAAGGGCCATCTTTGTTTGAGCAATGCTCACCACGCCCTGCTTGCTTGGGGTCAGTGCTGGAGGCCAAGCCTGTCGTTGGACCCAGCCAATAGTCCCAGCATGGGATGCGAAGCCTTTCATCGGCTAGTGCTCTGCAGGGAAGCGATGCAGGATGCCAAGGCAGGGAATCGCCGGGATGGGCGGAGCTCGAGCCTGCTGAGCTTCCATTCGAAGAGAGAGATGGCCTTGAGTGTTGTTTTTAGGGGGCTCCAAAAATGGTTGGTTTCCCTTCAAAACTGTGAAACTGGGGGGTGCCTCAAAAAAAGACAGACCCACTATAGCTTTGGCGCTTGCATCCCAAGCATGCCAAGGGGGGCGGGGGGGAGGAGAAAAATCATCAGAGCGAGTTCTCCATTAGCACTGACGTTGGGACATCCGGCAATGCCATTTCAACTGCGAAGGGTTCATGCAATGATGCATTTTGTTCGAGCCAATAGTCCAACTCTCCTTCACATTTCATTGCGAGTAGTTTTAGATCAGTGGCCCTGGGCACGACCCATGACTCGCAACAAAACCGTCTTCTCTTTGGGCGGCTTTGTGTTCGGGATTGTGTCAGCTTGTATCGGGTTGTTTCTGCTGCTGAGCGGGCCTGTGAGACTGCCCCCGCTTGTGATACCAATGCAAAGTCGTCACAACTAACTCTGCACAGCGGGAGGCTCCTTGCGCCCATCCGCAGCGTCACAGTGGGAACCAAACCCCTCCCAGCTTTACTTCAAATTACTTGTGTTGGGGTGGGTTTCCTTTACCACCACTTGATCCAGGAATGATCCAGGAATTCCCGAAGCCCACCTTCAGTCTGAAGCCACCTTGAGCACCTTCAGGTTTGCCGCCCAGAGTTCCTTCACCAGGATCCGAAACCCAGACCCTCCCAACCCAGCTCGTTGGATGAATGCCTTTGCTTCCTTCGCTTCCTTCGCTTCTTTCGCTTGCTTGCGCTGGCTTGCGAGCTGAGTGGCAGGCGGCCGGGGTCCCGAAGAGCCTCTTCCCCCCGGCCAAGCGCAAGCTTGCAGACCTCAACCCGGAGGTTCGGATCGATCGCGCCACATTGGATTTGGGGCTAAAGGGAGGTCCCCGTGCGGGGTCGGCGTATATCATGTTTGAATTGTTCAAAAGGACGCTCAGAGGGGATGTGATGGAAGTGTTGAGGCTGCATGCCAGGCAGATGTTGGGATCTTGCTGTTTTCTAGAGGTAGCAACTCTCGGTTTTCTAGAGACCTTGACACCCTGGCTTGAACACAGGTAAAACTAGGGACCGCCCGGCCAACGGCCACATTCGCCATGGAAACCGCGCTGTTTTCTTTCCAGGCTCTCTCAGAGTGGATGCTGGAGGAGCTGGAGGAGGCGCGGGGCTTTTAAACAAAAAAAATGCGCTGCTGTGCCTTGCCTATACTGAAGTCCCTTCCACAAGAAGATGACGAAGCAACGCAACCTTCGCCTATCCAATCAAAGAACTCTCTGCGCCGGATCCGTGCTTAAGGGAGCACCTGTGCAGCAAACTGTAGGCTGCCGATCCAGGAAATCCTGACCCAGGTGTTTTGAAGGAGCACACCCCCTTTGATAGCGAAGACGTGTATTGTTTATCATGAGGGGAAGACACAATTCAGGTGTTTGTCTTATTTGGGCTTGTCTCTATAGTTCTGAGAGTTGCTTAACTACCCGCACCGCACAAAGATTATCACCGATGCCTGGCGAAGTTCGCGCCGCAGAAATGTGTTTCTAGGGCCGAGGGAGCATTAGCTCAACTTGCCTATGGGATTGCCATGAGTTCCAGGCGGCGAGGCAGCAGGAACACGTTAGGCTCAGAATTGTGAAGTAGCTGTGAGAAAGCTTCACTGTGCACTCAGCTCCGAGATGCGATATGAGGTTTCGGTCAAAGTCAACTTTGGTTGCAATTCAGATCATGCCCCCTAGAGGTAATCAGCAGTTCTGACTGGCTCGTAAGAGACCCAGTCTACGGTGTTCTTGAAATCCGTCTACGGCTAAGAGCGAAGCTTCCTCCTAGTGCAAGCTTTATGTCGGCATGCAACACCTCCAGTGCAAGTCCCTACGGGGTGCCTTCAACTTACCGGCCCAGAAGTAGGTGCCGATGGATTTCGCACCCATGCAGCCTCGAGGTAAATGTAAGAGCAAGCCAGTTGGGCACTCACAAGCACAGCCTTTCGATATTCCAACAGGCACCAAGGGCGCTATGAGCGTGTGGGCGGACGGGGGAGAGGTAGACGAAAGTAAGTACTTCCATCGGGGCCACAGGCTGTTACCTCGCTGTCCGCGGAAGATCCTTCCGCTCAGCTCCGCCGGAGCCTCGACGGAGACATTGAGATGTCACTTGGCGATGCATCGGCCCAGCCCAGTGGCAACCCCTTTGATCCGTTCGGTGGGGCTAAAATAGGGGAACTTCCACAAATGTAATAGATGCTTGTTTTCCTTCTGTTTTAACACGCTTTAGCTGAAACAGGGCACCCTGGCATCCATTGCCCGCCACTAAGCATCCCATGTCGCATGTAGGCCCGCTTTATGAAATATCCGGTTCACATGTTTCGCTTTGCTTTCTGTGAAACGGGGAAGCCTCACCCAAGTGGCATCCGTTGCCCCAGGCCCCATCTTGGAGGAGGCCATCGCCGCCAAGGCCCGGGGTCCCGAAGCTCACGACGCTCTCAGCTCGGTGTGTTTGTTGCTCGGTGTCTCTGGGTTGAAAGGGCAGCTGAAAAGAAGAACTGCAACACCACTCTTGTCCTTTTGGGGGGGATAACTACCCGTAGTTTGAGATATGGAAGGGGAGCAAGCAGGTGCGGGCCAGCTTTGGGTGCAACTAGTTTTGGCCTCAAACGACATGCCA